TGCTGAACAGGACACCTCTGACAAATGCCCAGGTTCTGCAGTATGTCTAATGCCTACTAGACCCTGATGTAGGATTATCTCAGCCCCAAGTCATCTCTAAGATCAAGTACAAAGGATACCATCCTTTGATCAGCCATAAAATTTTTAACATTTCAAGATTTCTTTCATCTTGTGGAAGAGGTTTACCTATTAAACTGTCTTTTGCAGAGCTTACACAGAGTCAAGGCCTTTTCTGCTCCTCACCCCACCCCACCAGCGAGAAGGCTGGGGGTGCACAAGAAGTTGGGAGGGGACACAGCCAGGACAGCTGACCCCAACTGACCAAAGGGATATTCCATACCATAATGACACCATGCTCAGCATATAAAGCTGGGGGAAGAAGGAGGAAGCAGGGGATGTTCAGAGTGATGGTGTTTGTCTTCCCAAGTAACCGTTATGCGTGATGGAGCCCTGCTTTCCTGGCGATGGCTGAACACCTGCCTGCCGATGGGAAGGAGTGAATGAATTCCTTGTTTTGCTTTACTTATCCACAGACTGCAGTCTCTTAGGGGTGTACCTGCTCCATGTGGAGCCTTATCTATGAGCCACAGTCTCTCCAAGGGTATACCTGCTGCGGCATAGGCTTATCCACAGCCACAGTCGCTTTGAGGTGCACCTGTTCCAGCGTGGCCTTCTCCATGGGCCACAATGCCTTCAGAGATACACAAATCCAAAACATAGCCTCATACTAGCTGCTATGAAGAAAACTAACTCTATCCCAGCACATATTAACATTGACATTAATATTTTATATTCTTTCATTCCCTAGAACATGATTAAAAATGCTTCTAATTACTTGTTTGAAATGACAAAACATCGATTTTTCTTCAAGCCTGTAAAAATTGTAATTCCTAAAACGTGGAAGAAAAACACCAACTATTCAAGATTAAAAATGGAATCATATGATAAGGTATGATTTAGAGAACTCTTTATTATTAGAACAACAAGGAAAAGCTAGACTGATAAGGCTACATTACAAATCCCAGCAAAATCTAGCACTAGTCCTGGAAGTTCTTACTCGGAAGTGTTGAGAGTGTTCACAGGATAAAAAAAATTGCAGGACTGAATTTATTCAACAAGAATTACCTAACTCTTCTCTACACCCATGTTACGTATAACTTTGGTCTTACTTTTTCAGGCAGATGTCATCATGGCAGACCCTTACATGAAACATGTAGATGATCCTTACACCTTACAGTATGGAGGATGTAAGGAGAAAGGACGGTACATCCATTTCACACCTAACTTCCTGTTAAATGACAATTTGACTAATGTTTATGGAGAAAAAGGCAATACTGCTATTTAATTTAATTGCCTGCTTTATTGTTCTTATGAAATGGCCAAGATTTTTCAAAGTGATTAATGAATTTAGGTACTTTAATTTGCTTGCCAAAATGAAAAAAACTTTGAGAGACACATTTTTCAGCAGTAGTAAATACCTGTGAAATGTCTGAAGTTAAATATTCAAACACTGGATGCAGAAGTTGTTCATCCCTTTGAAAACTACCTTAAATGGTTATTGCTCTGCATTTAGCTACTGCCATTAGCAGCAGCCTTCCTTTTATGACTACTTACCAAAAAAACTATCCAGTGTTTGTGTATCTGATTTTGTACTACACTCTGTCAAAAAATGTAAAGTTTTCTGCTCTGTGGGACAGAAACCTCACAAAACCTAAATTTCCTCAGGAGATTTTTGCCAACTTGGAAGAAAGCCTCTAGAACAGTTCCTGCCTTTCTGAGACTCAAATATGAATAAAAATTCTAGTCCTGGTTGCTAAACTGATGCCTTCCTAGTTTTACCTCAAAGAAAAATTATTATCCCAATTGCTTAAATATTTCACAATCTTCCTGTATTACCTCAGATAAGAATTAGTTTAAATTGTCAAAATGTCTAAGTAAAACACTGAGTAGCTTTTAAACAGCTGTATTTAGAACATGGGTGTGCTACTTTTTTTCAACAGGTCAAGTTTTTGTCCACTCTCACTATCGGTGGGGGGTATATAGTAGCGATGTGCCTTTTTATGTGTCTAGAAATTCTAAAGAAGCAAGTATTGAAGCAACAAGGTATTATTTTTTTCATATTTCTGCTTTTACATTACACAGGTTTAAAGATTTCAATAACGTTTTCAATATTCTTGTCGTTTGTGCTGAGTTTGCACTTTGTAGAGTGTCCATGACCTGTTCATATGATTAAAAGATGCTTAGTCAGCAACATCTATTGCCTGCTGTGCAGCCCAGAAAACCACAGCTGCCTTCAGTGCTGTTTTGTAAGAGGTTCAGGATAATCTTTTGCTCTGTGAGCAACTGCAGACTTCAGCCACCTTCGTACTTATTTAACATAATTTTATTAAATAGCAGTTACCAACAACACTGAAATTGCCTACTGAAGCTACTGTGATTTTAAATAGTTTCCACAAAGAGGGACAATAACTGAATGGATGTAGAGAATTAGTTCAGGCTTGCCTTTTTTCCTACCTCAGGCATACCAATACAGTCTTTTGCATTGCAACTGCTAGCAGGATGTCTTTCCTGCATAGCCTATAATTATCACAAGGAAGACCACAAAAGAGCACAAGTGTTTTATGATTCTGTTTCTAGATTAGTTTGAGGCCCTTGCCAGGCATAGAGACAGCCTACCTATGTACTTGTGCAGTATCTACTACAGTGCTGTGTCAACAGCAATTTGGCTTTGGGCAGTCAAAATTCAAATATATAACCAGTTACAGATTGGGTTCTTAACCAGCCCTGCCTATCTTCTCTTCCCTTATCTGCCCAGCTGGTGTGACTGGTATACCTGTTTTCCAAGACTGCAGTGGAGACAAGTGTGAGCCAAGAAGCTGTAGATATGATGGTCAGATATATGAAAAAGGATGTATATTTATTCCAGATATATGACAAAATATCTCTTGTTCTGTTATGTATTTGCAATACATACCGTCTGTAAGTATTACTATACCTTTCTGGTCTGAAAGTTTAGTAACATTTGGGGTCTAGTCAGTTATTTCTGCTGGGGAGAATGATCAGTCAGATGTGTGTTTAATTAATTTCTATTTCAAAGAATATGCATGATGCTATCAGTTCTATTAAAATCTATTCAAAAGGGAAGACAAAGGAGGTACTGGAAATTATTTGACAGCTGTTTCCTGTCAATAAGGGGTGAGATGTACTGCAGTCTCAGCATCCTTCTTGCTCTGTGTTTAGCGAATCAGATCAACAGCATAAAAGGGAAGCATTCTTGCCAAATGCCTTGTCCATAAGACAACTGCAGTTTTTGATCACTCCTTATGTAAACTGGCACCCAAACTGTGTTACGTGGTTAGCTCTATTACACTCCATTGCAGAGCAATCTGGTCTGTCTATCTACCCTTAAGACAGAAGCAGCAGCCCACTCTCTCGAAAGAAGACAGGACAACCAGGCAGGCCTCCTCATGCCAGCTCTGTACCGTTCCAGTGTCTGGGAGAGGGTGCTGGGACAGGGGTTAGCAGGACGGTCTCCTTGCAGGCTAGATCTCTGTGGTACAGGATCACAATTCCTCCAGCTGTTGACCTTATTTCTTTGGGCAAGCTCGTTCCAAGAACTTCAGGGGTGTACTGGGCCTGGCTAGGATACAGTTAATTTTCTTCATAGCGGATTATATGGTGCTGTGTTTTAGATTTTTGACCAAAACCGTATGTCATGGTTTAACCCCAGCCAGCAACTAAGCCCCACACAGCAGCTCGCTCACTCCTCCCACAGTGAGATGGGGAGAGAATCAGAAGCGTAAAAGTCAGAAAACTCATGGGTTGAGATAAAGACAGTTTAATAGGTAAAGCAAAAGCTGCACTCGCAAGCAGAGCAAAACAAGGAATTTATTCACTACTTTGCATTGGCAGGCAGGTGTTCAGCCATCTCCAGGAAAGCAGGGCTCAATCACACATAACGGTTACTTGGGAAGACAAATGCCATCACTCCGAACATCCCCCCTTCCTTCTTCTTCCCCCAGCTTTATATGCTGAGCATGATGTCATTATGGTATGGAATAAGGGGTGGAGAATGTGCTGGTTTTGGCTGGGATAGAGTTAATTTTCTTTATAGTAGCTAGTATGGGGCTATGTTTTGGGGCTATGTGCTGGAAACAGCGTTGATAACAAAGGGATGTTTTCGTTATTGCTGAGCAGTGTTTACACAGAGTCAAGGCCTTTTCTGCTTCTCACCCCACCCCACCAGCAACTAGGCTGGGGGTGCACAAGAAGTTGGGAGGGGACACAGCCAGGACAGCTGACCCCAACTGACCAGAGAGATATTCCATACCATAATGAAGACATCGAAAAGATTATTTCCTGCTTCTCTCAAAGTCTTGACTTTGTATCTTTTGCATGTTTCCATATTCCACTCAAGAAAACTTATAGGAACTTGTCCAAGACCATCACCTTAAACCAAGAAGTTGGTTAATTATTCAGGCTGCTAACTTGTGCTGACCTCCATGCTGTTCAGCTACAGTACCTATGTTGGCAGGCTTAAATCTAGTAGGACCTCCATAAATCAGTCACTCCAAGGATCTCAGTGCTCACAGACTGAAAGCTTTGTTTCTGCATGTCACAACATGCTTGTACTTATGTAAAATCTGAAATAAGTTCTTTGGGAGCACTTTCTTTGCTTGCCTCTTGTAAGATCCTGGCTGGCCAGGCACCATGGCACAGAGGACATTCGCTGGAGAACACAACCTCCATTTGTCCTGTCCCCCACCACAAACTTCATATTTTCTGAGATATATTTTTATGCTCATACTGTTGGGTTCAGAATTATTATCAGCTTTGATCTGGCTTTTTAGGTGGTTGAATTTTGTGATAAAAACACTCACAACAGTGAGGCTCCAAATATGCAGAATAAGATATGCAAACACAAAAGCACGTGGGAAGTAATTAGGGAATCTGATGACTTTCGCAACTCAGCTATTGTAAATGCTTCTGCACCCCACTCTGAGACTACCTTCAGGCTACTGCACACCCAAGACAGAGCAGTTGCTTTAGTACTGGATGTTTCTGGGAGCATGTCAATGGTAAGAATATGCATTTTATAAGCAATTTTTAGCAAAAATAGTAAGAAACAGAAAAAGTTACAAAATAAAAAAAAAAAAAAAATCAGTCAATTTTGTAATTAACTTGATTATTTTAGAAAAAAAAGGACTACTCTTATTCTCCTTGGTAATTTTTTTTAGGAATTCCTACAAGATATCACTTCAAAATACTGAGAGTTGTAGGCCAGACTTGGTCTTTTTTTTTCTTGTAAAATCTCAATTTTCTATACTTTCCTTCCTTTGTTCCAGACCTAGAATGACAGTGCCATTGTATTTCTTCCAAGCAGAAAATGTATCATAGATAGAGTTTCACATTGTATTTTTGTTATGAATGATTCTAAAATTTAAAGTAAATATGTAGGTCACAATATGTCAATAAATTAGATGTTCTTTCCTCATTCCAATATTGCTCTTTCGAATCAAGAATTGGCATAATGTGAACTGGCATAATGTTATGTCATTTTAACAAGACTGATTATTATTTTTCCTTTTTTTTTCCCCATAAAAATTTGCATAGATTTATTCTTTCACAACGTCTTGTGGCATGAGATATTAAGCTTGTTTATGAATGCAAGGTTTAGTAGACATCCCTGAATATGTGCTTATTTGCATAAATATCCTAATACTTTTATAAAGCTGTAAGCAATGTGATCATCTGTAGAAAGATGACAAAATTATCTGGGTAGGTAAGGCAGCTATCTCATGATTTATTAATAGACTTCAAACCCCTATGCATACTCTAACAGCTTTTAAAAATCAGCATATATATTCTTTTGATGACATAATGATGACATTTTCTCACCCGTAACTTACCTCTTCCACAGTTCAATAGTGAGCCAATGACCATTACTCTCTTACTGAAAATACTGCAAGTTGAGGGTTTCATTTCTCACAGGAGTTCAAGCCTAAAAATAAGACTATTCATCGAAAGAAGGTAATTCAAAAAGCTCAAACATGTTGAGAAATATTCTTAAATATTTGACGGTCGTACCTTAAACCAAAATATACATGAAGAAGAATAAAACAGTATATGCTCCAATTCTTTAGTTATGGCATACATATAACAAATTGTGGGATTCTCCCATAGTGCTCCATCAACAGATCTACTTCCAGACATGCTGCTCTAGTCCAGAGCTGTTCTTGAGACTGATCTTCAGCAAAGATCTGCAATTGTAATAAATTACATTATTTTTATAATACAGCTGTCTACCAATCATAGTACATTTTATTAAATCAGTCAGTGAATAATAATGTAATACTAACAATCAAAATGAAGATAATTATGAAATAAATACTGCAAGAATCGCTAGCTCCAGAGATAAATGTTTTCAAATATAACTTTTCTTTTCAGTAATCCCTTCGAATATTTGCATTTAAAGTAGCCATACTTTTACTTTAATATTATTTATATTTTCAAAATACTTAGTCTCTAGATTAATCTACTCCTCAGGCATCGTAGGTGTCGTCCTTTTGCACTGACAGCACACTATCAAAAAAAGAAGTGATAGAAATCTTGATTAGGAATGAAGTCATAATATCAGAAGACGGACTTTGCCTGGTGACATCTTTCCTGGAAGCTGCAGCCTGCTGCACTTTCACAATACCAGAACATGGTTTACATCTCCTCTCTTCTAGAATTGAGCACACATATGAGTTACCTTATGGCAGATAGTTTTTAATTTTTAATTACAACCTGACCAACATCAAAAATTCCTATATTTTGTTCATAGTCAAAGCTTTTCAGAAGAGATTGCATTCTAAGGATGTTGTTTTTCTTGACATACAGCACGACCGCATCAGACATCTCCGTAATGCTGCAGAGGTATTTCTGCTCAATATTATTGAAATCGGTTCCTGTGTTGGAATTGTCACATTTGACTCTCACGCATCTGAAAAAGCTCCTTTGCAACAAATAACCAATGACACAGCACGCCAAAAACTTGTTCCATGTTTGCCTGTAATTGCTAGTGGACAAACCAGTATCTGTGCAGGCGTACGTAAAGGACTTAAGGTAAAGTACAATGTGAAAATACCTCCTGGAATGTATGGAAAATGAGGAAGAAGCAAGAAACATACTTGATAGCCCACTGAACATGGACTTCCTATGCAATGGTAGAGTTAAGAAAGATGATATGATTCTTGAATCTGTCAGGAGAAAATTTGGTATAGAAACTATTTGGCATTCCCATTATATGGCATTAGAAAGCGTATTAGCAGAAAACAGGCCAGATGTGATGTCCATGCTTCAAAAAGGATACTGAAAAATAAGACCAACAATGAACTACAAGAATGATCTAAATTTTGGAAAATCAAATTTCTTTTGGAAACCTGTGAAGTTTATTCTATTTAGTTTGTTTAAGAGAAAGTTAAGAGGTTACTTTAATACAGTTCTTTAATTACTTCTAGTGGAAAGAAATATGCAGTACTGCAGTCCAAACTCTTACAGGACTGGATAAACTCACAGCCTGATCACATTGCTGGGTGTATATACAGAGAAAAGGCTGCAGAGCAACACAACAATGAACGTAATATTCTATTCCTGCGATCTCTAAGATTTTTTTCTAGCAAAATGTGGACTGAGGAAACACCAGAGATCTGACTCATGAATCACAATGAACATATAGAATAAATAAGTGTTAAAATGGGAAGCTGTATAATGGTAGTATTGTTAATTCCCATAGTTCACTAGTCATGAATCAAGCCCCTAAAACTGTGAAACCACATACAAATCCCGAGATTGGGAAACAGTGATGGATAGATATTATTATTTATTTGTCTGTTTTACTTCCTTGGGCTGGCAGCCTGAAGTCCCAGAAGATATCACCTACTTCAGATGCAAAACTGAAAATCAGGAGCAACGTGTAGGAAAAGGGAAGAAAGAGAAAGAGAGAAATTGTACAGAGAAGGATGAGACTGCTGAGGTAGTCAAGAGTCCAGGGCAGAGAGGAGGCTCAGGACAGTGGGACATTAGGAGGAAGACTGGCAACCAGACAGGAACGAACAGCCAGGACAGAGGTGTCCCCCATGGGTGCTCCCTACCCCTTTCTGCCCCACCTTCAGTTACCTCAGAGTCCACCCTTAGACAGAAGTCTGTCCTTCTCTACTCCTGAAATTTTGGTTGGAGAATAAAAAGTAATTCCAGACAGTGGACATAAGTTTTTAATATGATGCCCTTAAACATCCAGTCCCTGAACCAGCAAAGCATATACAGGCAGAATGCTTCTGACATCTTCAATTTGGGACAGGTTTTTTCCCTAGAAAAACATATACTAAATATTCATTATTTATAATTGAACATTTACTAAATCTAAGCAATTAGATGTTGCAATATCAATTGCAATAATTAATATTGTAATAGTTTTAGTGTTAAATAAAAATTCAAACACTTATTAAAGAATAAATTTATCTTGTATTTGAAGTTAGTTTTAAATGCATGCATTGACTATGCTCTGGGACAAACTAGTATTTAAAAATTATTCTGCTGCTTATATAATGAATTCTTTTCTTGATGCAGTTAACTGCAGATAAAATAAATAGTACATATGGTTCAGAAATTGTGTTAGTGACAGATGGAGAGGACTCAGGTATAGCAGCTTGCCTTGATTTGGTAAAACAAAGTGGGGCAAAAATTCACACCATTGCACTGGGGCCATTGGCAGCCAAAGAACTAGAAGAATTTTCAAAACTAACAGGTAAATATTCTAAATGCACTCTTTCTCTGGCATGCATATTCAAGTATGAAAATGTAAAAGCATGGCAATTCATCAGTCTGGAAAAAAGAAATTTAAACCAAATTTAATTTTAAAGAAATTTGGTTTTCATTACAGGCTTTTTAAATACAAACAAGCAGAACTCTTTAGATCCACAGATTTGCTTTAAGAGCTGTCTTGATTTAAACAATGCAGTAACATGACAATACCGTATTACTAAGGAGATTTAATGATGATATTGTTATATAACATAAAAAGAAATGTCTAGAATTTTATTTCTGGCATTACATACAATGACTAGAACTTTCTATATGCTTTAACTTATAAGCATTTTTTATTACATAAAGAATAATAGTTTTCTCCAACTGTTGCGGCTGAAGTGCACTGGCTAGGAAATTGTAAACACAGTGACTACCCTTGTCATTAGCAAGCGTAGCTGTCAGCTGAGCTAGAGCTACATAATTAGTTTGAAAACGATCATTTAAAAACTATCCAAAGGGGTGTTGCTTCATGCTACAGCACCTGCAAATGCCATGGAAAAATAAAAACTCACCTTATGTCAGTCTGTGCATGAGGAACAGGGGTGAGAGGCTTTAAGTGGTAGGGAGGGGCTGTGGGCAGCCTCTACACACCCCAAGTAGGCTCCCCAGGGCTCAGTGCTGCACAGCAGTCTCTTCCCCACTCTGGGATTCCAGTGACCTGTGCATTAGCAGCACAGTGATGGCTCAGTTTACGTCTGGCATGAATGATCCTAGTTTGAGAGAGAATTGCAACAAATGTGTGAACTGCAGATGCTTCAGCAGAGCAGCATGAAGCCATATTCTCAATGAATTCATTAACAGACCTGCACTGAGTATGAGAACCTCCAAAGGACTATTGCTGCTTGAACTCAGCATGCATGAAAAGAGATCTCAACTTCACATTTGGAAATAAAGATGATCTGGATTTTAAGAGTCAAAAACCATGGAATGCCACCGTGTCTTTTCTACAGAGGTATTTTCAGAGCAGAATTTCACTGAAGGGATAATATGGGCCTCCAAAAGGACTAGGAAAAGTCTAAAGATGCTGTACTTGATGATATGCTGCAGGGAGTGATATTTTTGCAAATTTTGCCAATGAGAGATAGAATGAGTTGATCACACATGCCAGAATTTACTATGACACCTGCATTAACACATTAATAAAAAGATACATTTCTTTTTTGATTTCATAGCAAATTGGCTGCCTCAGTAGAACATTCAGTACCAGAAGTCACATAAAATTTAGCAATTTTAGGGTAAAAAATAATATTTCTAATTCTTTTGTTCTTGTCTTTCAGGAGGTTTAAAGCTTTATGCTGTAGATGAAGCCATCCCCAGTAAATTAACTGAGACATTCAGTGCAATTACATCAGGAAATGGAGATATTTCTGAACAATCTATTCATGTCTGAATTTCAACACTTTTTGATCCTATGTTTTTAGTTGATCAGTAATTGAATGAATTTAGACATTAATGATCATCATCGCCAGTGGCTCAATTTGGAAATAGGAGCAAGTACCTTTTTTAGTGATCTCCTACTTTTCACTGCAATGAAATAAATACATAATATTA